CAGGAACCCAGAGGACAAGGCTGGGTGAGAAATGCTTGGCACATTGAAGCTGTAAAATGTCCCTACCCGAGCACCTGATTGTCATAAATGCTGTTGAAGATGCAGTTACGTGCTACAGGAACCAGCCTGGCCACCTGCTTGTTAGGGTTTCTGCTAGACACACACTGTGGGTGCCTTCTTAGCTCTTTAGGTGACTATGGGGGTGTTACTTGTGGTGACTGGTCACCTACAGCGTGCTGCTCTTCCAGCATTTCTCACTACATAGCAGTTTTTTGGGAGAGGGAGGAAGGATACATCTGCCTCGTGCTGGTACGTACCTGTGTTAGCACTTCAATTAGTGCTTCCATGTGTGATTACAGTGTAGGCAGTGATAAGGTTGACCCTACACAACTCCTCTGAGTTGAATCTTCCCGTCTTTGTTGCAGCTGAGCAGGAATTAGCTGAGGACACTTATTCTCTTAGCTTATCTCTCCAAACAAATTCAGGTTCTTGTTCAAATTCAAACAGTTCTGACCATCTCTGTGTCTGTGACACGACAGAGACCGTGGGGTGACACAGCTAAATTGGTTCAGAGCAGCTGAGCCCACTCATCTCCTTCGGGTATGTAAAAAGGCTCAGAAATGGTGCTCGCCCGGGCTTCCTGCAGCAGCCAGAAGTTTATCCTTGTGTTTTGGTGACAGAATATGAGCAAAGAGATGTAAAAAAACGGTAGTCTTGCCTTGCGTTTTCAGGGAGGTTTGGTGGATGTTTGGGCAGTGATTCAGGAGCTGGAATTTTCCTTGAGATGACAAAGACTTCTGAAAAAACAAACAAGGAATGGGTTTGTAGTCCTCCTGCCGTACTTTCTGTGGCAGTGAGCTGTTTGAGATGGAATGTGGCTTTGCTGAGATTGCCTCTGCTTCTCCCTCTCCCTGCACCAACACAGTTCCTTGCTCATTGCCCATGAGGCTGCCCCGTGCCTGGGTGAGCTCCAGCACCCTCACGAGGGGCTGAGGTTTGAGAGGAGACCTCTCTGCAGCCACCAGCGTGGTGGGAAGGGGCCTGTTAATAACTGGTGGGGGGCTTGGAGAGCAATGTCCTCTCCTGGGGAGGGACAGCGCTGCCTCGTCATTGACTGCAAAACAGCAAGGTCTTCAGGAGGAGGTGGGAAATGAGGGTGGAAAGGGAGGAGAGGGGGATATGCAAGACTGCTGGCTGGGAGGCCGTGGCCAAATAGCTGAGGGTAGTTTTAATACTTAAAAAACCTGTAGTTTCTGCTGCTTGTACTGTATGCAAGAGAACAGGGTACTGAGCAGCGGCAAGTGTGTACGTGATGGTGAGGTTGGGAGAAGCTCCATGAGCCAAGTTCACCCTCCTTTTGCACACATGTATTTTCTACCGGATTCTTCAATCTCTGCAAACACCAACCCATCTTAATTTTGACTAGAATTCTATCCTGTGGGGTCACCTTCTTTCAGAAGCGATGCAGTGTGTTAATGTGGCCCTGCCCATGGCGGCGTGGGTTGGAACTCGATGATCTTTAAGGTCCCTTCCAACCTGAACCGTTGTGTGATTTTTAGGAATAAACCTCTGACCACTTAAGCACCGAAATTACCTTGTGGCTGTTTTGCTTCTGGAGCACTAGGATCTTGTGCTCAGCTCTTTCCTAACCCAGCTCTTCGGTTCCACCAGGCTTTCCATCGCTTGCAAACCTGCCTTTCTATCCCTTCATTGCTTCTTCATGGAGTGGCTTTGACTGTACCTTTGCCTGGTCTGGAGGGGAGCATCGCAGTTCTGTATCAGACAGAGTTTTCTGAAAGGTAGAGAGGGATCAGCAGTCTGGGGCTGCTTCAGGAGGAGGTGGGAAATGAGGGTGGAAAGGGAGGAGAGGGGGATATGCAAGACTGCTGGCTGGGAGGCCGTGGCCAAATAGCTGAGGGTAGTTTTAATACTTAAAAAACCTGTAGTTTCTGCTGCTTGTACTGTATGCAAGAGAACAGGGTACTGAGCAGCGGCAAGTGTGTACGTGATGGTGAGGTTGGGAGAAGCTCCATGAGCCAAGTTCACCCTCCTTTTGCACACATGTATTTTCTACCGGATTCTTCAATCTCTGCAAACACCAACCCATCTTAATTTTGACTAGAATTCTATCCTGTGGGGTCACCTTCTTTCAGAAGCGATGCAGTGTGTTAATGTGGCCCTGCTCATGGCGGCGTGGGTTGGAACTCGATGATCTTTAAGGTCCCTTCCAACCTGAACCGTTGTGTGATTTTTAGGAATAAACCTCTGACCACTTAAGCACCGAAATTACCTTGTGGCTGTTTTGCTTCTGGAGCAGTAGGGTCCTGTGCTCAGCTCTTTCCTAACCCAGCTCTTCGGTTCCACCAGGCTTTCCATCGCTTGCAAACCTGCCTTTCTATCCCTTCATTGCTTCTTCATGGAGTGGCTTTGACTGTACCTTTGCCTGGTCTGGAGGGGAGCATCGCAGTTCTGTATCAGACAGAGTTTTCTGAAAGGTAGAGAGGGATCAGCAGTCTGGGGCTGAAAAGGGCAAAGTACCAGTAGAAGCTGGTTGGCTCCTCTGCCACCGTATTAAAGGGATTTTCATCAGCATCCATGGCTGTTTCCAGCTCCACCTCAAATCTCATCTCTGCCCCTGAGGGAGCTTTGTCCAATTCCCTCTTTGCCTCTTCTCCATCCTGCCCTTGGGGAGGTTGAAGGGATGGACATTCCGCCTCCTGGGGTTTTGTTTCTTTCTCACTATGAGATTTAGGTGCTCCATCACTTTGGTGCTGTAACTTGGAGCCAACTCTAAATTGAGCATTTTCCCTCCAGTGCTTTCCCTTCCTACCTGTGCTCCTCCAACCTCCTTTGCAAAGGGGATAAGGCAGAAAAAGGACCTCACACAAGCACTAGTTTTCTGGTGTGGAGCTCAGCCCTGTTCTTTGGAGAACCTCCTCCCCCATGGCTCGGTAAATGCTGGGCTCCCTTGCCCTCCTGGCTCCCAAACGTGCCCGTAGGTGGGTGCTGGGACAAGCCACCTCGCTGGCCAAGGGTGATAAGGGGACAGGCAGACACAGATAGGGGGGAACAGAGCTGCCCTACAGCCTGCCTTTAGGGTGGAGCTTCTTTTATTTTACTTTTTTTTCCCTCCTTTTATTTTTTTCTCTTTGGCGGGAGCTCTGTGTGTGTGTGTGTGTGAAGCAGATGACGGCAAACCCTGTGTTTGTCCCCAAATTGATCTCACTGGAGGGTCCTGATACTTAAATACTGTTACAGCAAGAAGATACTCATGTTTGCCTTTAAAATGGCTTTCCCGCTGTCCAAATTTCAGAGCAGAGAGGGTTTTTTGTAGATTTTTTTTTAAGGTTTGGTTGTATTTTTTCCCCCCCAGTGGAATAGATGTATGTGGGATCAGGAGCGTTTGACTTCATCTTTGGTTTCTTCTGACCGGCCTGAAATTCTTCTGGAAGACTTTTGTGTAGTCATTCCCTATCATAATTTTTCTAGGAAAATTGTAGAGTCTTGGAAAAATGTATTTCCTGTCTAAGGCTGCTCCTCCTACTCTCAATGAATCACTTGTGCTCTCGTGTTGCTTTGGGCTGACTTCCCTATTGACTTCAGTGCTTGGGATTTAATTAGAAATCGAGGGATGATGCTTGAAGCTGTAAAACTACATGGGATTCATTGCTGTGCAGGGGGATTACGGTAACAAAAAAAAAAAAAAGAAAATTAAATATTTGCATATTAACTGTCCTTGGTGTAAATAGAAGAGTTTCTTCATGGTTCTGCGTCCACTGCCCTTGAAGACTTCTTTTATCCCATCCGCAGCAGAAAGCAGCATCCCCTCCCTCTCCACACCTCTAAATAAATCACAAGCACGGGACGGGGTCTGCAATACATGGGATTTCCTTGGGTATTTTCTAAGGGAGAAATAACCCCCAGCAGTTCTCTGTGGGTGTGAAAATGTCTGGGTGTTCCCTGAGTGGCCTTCCCGTGGAGTCCCAGTCCCCGGTGGCAGAGGAAAACTCACCTTGGCTACAGGGGACTGGAATCCATTAAGGCTGGCCTGGCTTTGGGGTGAAAAAAGAGCGTTTTTATTCAGGGTGAGGCGTATTTAGGGGCTGTTTTGCATTGATGCTGGTGTTTGTGTCCCTTGAAGATAGCACCTGCCAAAAGAGAAGTGCTGTATTTAAAAAAAAAAACACCCCAAGAACCCAGCAGAGCCCCGGAGCCTGTAATTTGCTGTACACACCCCTGGGGCTGCCCGGGGCCCACGGGGACATTATCGTCACCTCTCCCTTCCACCCTCCCTTGCCCCAACAGGGCCAGGGAGATAAGGGCTGCTCCGCAGCGCTGCTGAAGGAGCCTTCCTCCCAGCATCCTCTGACACATCGCCTGAAATGCCCCAAAAAGCTGGAGAAAATCTTCCCCTGAAGTGCCATCCCAGTTCGGGATCGCCAGTGACCGGAGCAAACAGTTGTCTCTCCACGCTTGAAAAGCTCCCAAATAATTTGTGCATGCAGAGAGAAAACAGTTGTCTCTCCACGCTTGAAAAGCTCACAAATAATTTGTGCGTGCAAAGAGAAGAATCATAGAATCATAGAAGCTATTTTAACAACTGATGATACCTTGTAATAGCACAGGAGTTACACAGAGTGTCGAAGTTGTTGGTTAGTTTAAAAATGAATAGATTGGTTACATATTTTTTAGGGTGCTTATTGCCTGCGTTTACTAAAGAGGATGCTTTAGTGAAAGGGTTCGTGTTTTTGAACTGTTGACATTGTTTATACAACACCACAAAGGTGGGCAGTTGAAACAAAGCCCAAATACCCATGTTTGTGTATTGCTGCTGCCCCTGCCAGCACAAATAGGGATCAAACACTGAATATAACCTTTTGCATCCTTCCCAGTTTATGGGAATACCTGGAATTCTTTGCCTGATCTGTGCCACCCTTTGCTTGCGAGTGAAATCTTTGTCCTCCTCGTCTCATGCCTGTTTTGCCTTGTTCTCTTCCCAGGTTAAAGAACTCGTTCTTGACAACTGCAGGTCATACGAAGGCAAAATCGAGGGCCTCACAGATGAGTTCGAAGAGCTGGAATTCTTAAGTACAATCAACGTAGGCTTAACCTCAGTTGCAAACTTACCAAAGTTAAACAAACTTAAGAAGGTAAATAAAATACCCCGTGCCGTATCCCTTCCTCTCTGCGCTGTACCGAAAGTAAAGCAGTCGTTTGGATAAAAAAACCTAACTTAGCTGAGCAAACTGCTTTGTGATGTGTGTTTGCACTAAAAACTCGAGATGTTTCTGTGCCTTCTAGCTCGAGCTAAGCGACAACAGAATCTCAGGAGGACTGGAAGTGTTGGCAGAAAAGTGTCCGAACCTCACGCATCTAAATCTAAGCGGCAACAAAATAAAAGATCTCGGTACAATAGAACCTCTGGTAAGTCAACGTGAGACAGGGTGAAACTGAGCCCCACTTTGTGATGGGTAGAGGTGCTTATGGGCTGGGAAAGTCCATAACAACTTGCAGTGGGGTGTTTTGGGTGCTTATCTCTCTGGGCAGGTTGCCCTGGGGCTCGGGCTGGCCCCTGGCTATGTGCAGTGCCTGCTTCCCTCTAGTGGTGCAGCTCTGGGGAGCTCTCTGTGGCTCTCTGCAGCCCTCTCCCAGGTGCTCTGCTCCAGCTTGGTGGGTTTTCCCTGAAGCCATGGGTCTCAAATCACCAGCCACCGTGTCTTCCCAAGGGTCTGGTGTGTGGTGGCGGGTGGTCAGGACTACCTGCAGCCCTGTGGGCTTCCTCCTTTACTGGGTTTGCTCACTGCAGCTGGGCTGAGGTTCCTGAGCTTCCAACTTCTTCCTGCTGGTTTCCATTTCCTCTCGTTATACATCTTATTTCAAGTGCTGAGCTCAGGTTTGTCAGGCTGCGATTCCAAAAAAGCATCCCAAGTGTCACTTCTGGTAGTGCTATTTTCTAGGTTTTGGGTTGTGTGCCCTTTGCTCTCCAGAAGTGAAGAGGTTTGGTTCATGCTTATTTGGAATCATAGAATGGTTTGGGCTGGAAAGGACCTTAAAGACCACCCAGTGCCACCCCCTGCCCTGGGCAGGGACACCTCCCACCAGACCAGGTTGCTCCAAGCCCCCTCCAACCTGCCCTTGAACCCCTCCAGGGATGGGGCAGCCACAGCTTCTCTGGCCAACCTGGGCCAGGCTCTCACCACCCTCACACCAAACAAGTTCTTCCTAATATCTAATCTAAATCTCCCCTCTTTCAGGTCTAAGCTATTACACCTCATTCTATTGCTCCCCTCCCTGATCCAGAGTCCCTCCCCATCTCTCCTGGAGCCCCTTGAGGGACTGGAAGGGGCTCTGAGGTCTCCCCAGAGCCTTCTCTCCAGCCTGAATTTTCCAAATACTTGCTCTTCAAATGTCTCGAGGAGCAGTTCTCGCACAAGTCCACTGCCCCCAGTTTCAGACTTACTGTTCTCTGGATGTCACTGCTGGTTTATATGCTTAGCTCCAGAAGGGACTTTGAAATGCTGTGGGCACTGCAGACCACCTAAAAAAAAAAAAAAAAAAAAAGAAAAAGAAAAAAAATTAGGAAGGAGTTGAATTCCTGTTCAATTTGTAAGCTTTTATTCATTTTTCAAAAGGCTAGGGAACAATCACTAAATTTTTTTTTAATTCTTTCTTAGCAAAATTCTTGTGTCCAAAGAATAGTCTTTTTCTTCTTCCAGTGGTAGTAGTCGTTGAATGTACGTGACTGCTGGCTCCCATGTCTGGCTTTGTGCTTTTGGGATAACTCCTTGGACTAACACTTACCCTTAGCTTGGCCCCTCACAGCAGGTGGGATTTTTGCTCCCTTAACTATTTCCAAACTTGGGTTTTCTACTTGGGAGATGATGAACTTGAGCGAGACCACTCAGATACCAAAGCAGCAATGGCCAAGGCGTTGCAGGTTTCTGTTCCACACCAAATTAATAGGTAGAGACCAAAATGACCCTAATTGTCACGGGAAGCTCTTAACTCTGGCTGCTTTCGCATTGTGTGCTCAGTGGAGAATTACTGTAACGCTGAACTTTCCTTTCTTTGCAGAAAAAGTTAGAAAACCTGAAGAGTCTAGATCTTTTCAATTGCGAGGTAACCAACTTGAACGATTACAGAGAAAACGTCTTCAAGCTCCTCCCCCAACTCACATACCTCGATGGCTACGACCGGGACGACAAAGAAGCGCCGGACTCCGACGCAGAGGGCTACGTGGAGGGACTAGATGATGAGGAGGAAGATGAAGATGGTATGTGAATTGTGCTACTCGGTGTGCGTAAGTTAAAAGATCCATATGCTGCCTAGTACGTTTGCTCCCAGCTCTGACTTGTTGGCAAGAGAAGGGTGTTCTCAGCAGCTCCTTCCTGACTGATGTAAAGGAGAGAAGTACCTCAGTGTCCTCTGAAGGAAGGAGGGGAAAGGAGAGATGGGCAGGGCCTGAAAGAGCTACTTTCTCAGTCTTATCCCTAGTGAAAGATCGGGATGACAAAGAAGCGCCAGACTCTGATGCAGAGGGCTACGTGGAGGGCTTAGACGACGAGGAGGAAGATGAAGATGGTATGTGAATTGGTGCTGCTTGGTGTACGTAAGTTGTGAGACTGATTCGCTGCCCGGTACCTTTTGCTTCCAGCTCTGACTTGCTGGCAAGAGAACGGGTGTGCTCAGCAGCTCCTTCCTGACTGATGAAAAGCAGAAGTATCTCAGTGTCCTCTGAAAGAAAGAAAGAAGGGGAAAGGAGAGATGGGCAGGGCCTGAAAGAGCTACTTTCTCAGCCTTTTTTATAGTCAGAGGTGGGGGACGAAAGGATGGTAGAAGAAAAGCACCCCGAGGAGGAGTAAGACACTGAAAGAGTTTGGGGAACAGTAAACCCCAGGGAATGGGGACGTAAGGGAGAAGTGGGTAAGAAAGGATGATGTGCAGACACTGCAGTTTTCCAGGAACAGCACAGCACGGATCAGGGAAGTACGAGCAGTTGTGTAGACTGTGATGGGGAAGGGTGGGGTGGAGAACCAGGCTGGGCATAGAAAAAAGCAGCCAAATCAAGGAATTAAGTAAAGGAGCCAAAGCATTAATAGGAGGGAGGTTGTAGCTGCTGTGTGAGGACAACGTGAACTGGTGGTTGTCAGGCAGAAGAGAGGAGAGTGTGTGTATTGACGTCTGCCTGGGGCAGGCTCTGTGAGAGGCACTAAGGAAGCAGGAGCAACTTTTTAACGTTAGGAAAATGCACGGTGGGTCCCACGGTGCTGCAGCCTGTGCTCGGGGGCAGCAGTGGGGCGAGTATCCGGCTGGGTTTGGGGAATTTGCTGGACTCTTCAAACCCAGCTGCGCAGCAAAAGCAGAATAGCTGGACTTGCACTTTTCCCTGGAGCTGGATGTGAGCTGTGGCCAGAGGGGCGAGCGCTGCCTTCAGCCAGGCTCAGCAGGGACAGGTTCTTCTCCTCAGAGCTCATTCCATTGCATGAACAAACCCTCCATAACACCATTCTGGCAGCATGGAGGGGACTTGCACTTTTCCCTGGAGCTGGATGTGAGCTGTGGCCAGAGGGGCGAGCGCTGCCTTCAGCCAGGCTCAGCAGGGACAGGTTCTTCTCCTCAGAGCTCATTCCATTGCATGAAATAACCCTCCGTAACACCAGCATGGAGACTTGATCTCTGGTTTGTGGCTTGGGCTAGTTGCGTTTCATCTCTTTTCTCTTGAAAAAGAGATGGCAAACTGGTAAGATGGATTGTGTGTGACCCTTTTGTATGGCTCTGGCAAGGGATGTCCCCTTGGTGGTCTCTTGAAAAAGAGATGGCAAACTGGTAAGGTGGATTGTGTGTGACCCTTTTGTGTGGCTCTGGCAAGGGATGTCCCTTGGTGAGGGGGGTCCCAGTGCATGGTTGGCTTGTAAAGTTCTGCTCTATCCCTGGTGGGGGCAGATGGACACCTGCAGATGAGGAACTGCAAGCGTCCCATGGGCTAAAAAATGCATATTAGTGGTGGGAAGTGGAGCAGTGGAAGCTAAAACAGTCCTGAGGCTGCTGTGACCTACTGTTGAGGCCCCTGCAGCTCCAGAGGAGCTCCAACCATGGGTGCACACCCTCCTCTTGTCAGCAGGCTGGAGAGGGACAGAGCTACATCTAGCCCTGTCTCACGGCTGCAGAGCTGGCTTTTATTCTGCTCTGCCCTTAAACAACACTTTCAACCTTCTCCTCGTGTCGGCAGGAGGTCACATCTCAGGTGGCAGTGTTGGGGGGGAAAAAAAAGTAAACTTTAAATGTCTGAGCGGTTGTTCTTTGTTTGACTGTACAGAAGAGGAGTATGACGATGATGCTCAGGTAGTAGAAGATGAAGAAGATGAGGAGGAAGAGGAGGAAGGAGAAGAGGAGGATGTGAGCGGCGAAGAGGAGGTGAGGATTTGTGCTGTTACTAATAGGTGTGGAGTGAAGGTTCTCTAACTGGGAGGAGTTGGGTGGGAAATACACCAAATAGTGGAGGATTTTAGTACTGGAAGCCTGTGCTTGCTTTTTGACTCCAGAAGCATCATGGTGGGGGGTGGCTTTGAGGCATCCTGTCTATGAGCCAGCTGCCATCTAGTGACCAGGGACGTGAAATCATTCTCTTCATTGGGTTGATGTCAAAAATACTCTCGGGGACATCTGCAGACCTCCTCTGTGGGGCCTTGGAAGGGCTGGGGCTACAGCCTTGGTATGGACAAGAAAGCAGTACCCAAATTACTGAGCCTAAGCTCTTGGAGTAAGATTCCTCCTTGAGTGTGTTCCTTGGGGTTCTTCAGGATGCTTCAGTTCTTCACAGAATCACAGAATCTTCTAGGTTGGAAGGGACCTTAAAGATCATCTTGTCCAACCGTCAACCCGACTGACAAAAATAGACACCCACACAACAAACAAGGAGCATCATCACTAAACCAGACCTCCCAGCACTACATCAACCCAGCTTTTGAACACCTCCAGGGATGGGGCCTCAACCACCTCCCTGGGCAGCCCATTCCAAGGGCTGAGATCCCTTTCAGTGAAAAAATTTTTCCTAATCTCCAGCCTGAACCTCCCCTGGTGTAACTTGAGGCCATTTCCTCTCGTCCTGTCGCCTGTGACTTGGGAGAAGAGACCGACCCCCACCTCTCTACACCCTCCTTTCAGGGAGTTGTAGAGAGCAATAAGGTCTCCCCTCAGCCTCCTCTTCTCCAGGCTGAACACCCCCAGCTCCCTCAGCCTCTCCTCATAAGACTTATTCTCCAGACCCCTCACCAGCTTTGTCGCCCTTCTCTGGACCCGCTTCAGCACCTCGATGTCTTTTTTATGGTAGGGGGCCCAAAACTGGACACAGTACTCAAGGTGAGGCCTCACCAGTGCCCAGTACAGGGGGACAATCACCTCTCGGGCACCTCTCTCTTGGTGTGGTCCAGGTCTTGGGTCACAGGGATGAGCCAGTCACGCTCTGCTGAGGCTTTGCCAGAGGCAGAACCGATGGGATGGGCTCCAGTTTGTCTGTAGGAGGTCGGATTATCTGTCCTCTGGCCAAACAGAAGGTCTTAGATCCTTAACTCCCCCTCCTGAGTGGTTGGTCACCCTCTTCTCAGAACCACCAGCAGCTCCTCAGGCTCTGGAGATGCCAGTTCATCTTTTAACTCTCTGCCCCAAGAACACGCACCTTTTAATTCAAAAGAGTCATCAAGTTTTACTAAATTTGACATCATAACGAAGTCAGCAGCTCTCTGTTGGTGTGAAGCATAAACCCACTTTCTCACTGAAGACTTGAAGCTCGGAGTGGCTGCTCTGATGGCTTGTGATTCTTCTTGGGCCATGAAACTTGGGCCAGAGTCCAGTGAAACCGTAGCAAAAAAACTGCACTTTGATATAAGTGGGTGGGAAGTGTCTGCCTTTTTGTTTGGTTTTTGTTTAAGATGCTTCAAGGGCTTTCTCTCTGTTGTAAAAATGCTGTTGGGTATTGCCAAATTGTGAAAGGTCCTGCACTAAAACCAATTTTAATCCTTCCTTTTCTTTTTTCTTTTTTCTTTTTTTCCTCTTTTTTTTTTTGTTTGTGTTAAATCTAGGAGGATGAAGAAGGCTACAACGATGGTGAGGTAGACGACGACGAAGATGAAGAAGAGCCCGGTATGGAAGCAATCCAGTTTCTGCTAGAGATAAAATCATAAATTAATATATTTTTTTTTTAAAGTAAAATACAGTTTTCTGAAAAGCAGGCTCCTGTTTGTGCTCCTGCTCCTTTGAGAGTTTCCAAAGTAGAAGCTTGTTGAACTTGTGTGAGGGAGTGCTCGTATAATTCCAGTTGTCTTTTATTTTCTAGATGAAGAACAGGGACAGAAGAGAAAACGAGAAGCTGAAGACGAAGGGGATGAAGACGACTAAACTGAATAACCTATTTTGAAAATTTCCTATTGTGATTTGACTGTTTTTACCCTGTATTTCCCCTCCCCACACCCCTGACCTTTTTATTTTTCTTTTTTTTTTCTTTTTTTTTTCTTTTTTTTTTTTTTTTCTGATTGTAATGTTGCTGTGGGAATGAGAGGGAGAAGCAGACTGGGTGGGCAAGGGAATAAAATACTATTTTTACTGCCACTCCTCCTATTCATTTTAAATTTTATTTTTCTTTTTGTCCCTCTCTTAGTCCCTGTAACTGCAATAGTAAGTATAAACCAAGTGGTAATTTGTTTCTTATTATTGGAGTGGGTAGTTTGACATCTTTAAAAAAAAAAAGAAAAAGATAAAAAAAAGTTGAAGATCAGTGGATGATACCCCAAAATACACAGACTCTGTCCCGAGATGGCTGAAGAGTGTTGGTTGTTGGGATTTTTCCCCCGCTGCCAGTCACTAAATAGGGTGTAAGCAGTTTTTTGGGGGGTGCTGCAAATCCAGGTGGAGCATCATCCCCCTCCCCCCCAGGCTCCCCGCAGCAACAGGGGTGAGAATGGCATATGGATAAAGTGATTTTTTGTTGCCTGTCCGTGAATGACTGCCATTTTCAGCCAATGCTTTCCCTGCTTTTGTAGGTACCTTTTATTTTGCTGTTTGTAAATAGTGACCAAATGTTTTTGTTGGGGCTTTTTTTTTTCTCAGATAATCACTTTCAGCTGTATTTTGTAGGGCTGAAGTTACATTTCTCAATAAAAAGATGTGACATACCCAGCCCTAGCTAAAGAAATTATTCTTAAATTTAGATTTTCATTCAAAAATATGGACTATGTTAAAATATTTTGCTTTTTTTTTTTTTTTTTTTTTTTTTTTTTTGGGGGGTGTTCCTTTGGATCTGGTTTGTGGGGTGAATTTGCAGTCCCCCCCTTCCCTTTCCCCACCCTGTGTGTTGTGTGTTTTCCTTTCTGTTTGTTTTTGGGGGTTTGGTTTTGGGGTTTTTTTTTTTTGGCTAGGGTATAGCCAACACACTGAAAATGGCAGGCATTTAAATATATATATAAATATATATAAAAAGTGTTCCTAATTCCTGAGTTACTAGTGAAATGAATTTGACAATTGTAATAAAAAAATGTTTCAACCCTTTTAAATAAGGTGTGTACTATTTTGGTCTGTAATATATAACACCTAGTCAATTTTAAGTGATGAGAAACTACTTCCACTTGTGCTATATACTTTGAAAATTTTTACAAACCTAAATACAGGAGGCAGTTCCGCATGTAGGGTAGGAGGTTTCTTTTCATACACTCAAGCACGAGATACTAATACAAAATTGTATTTTCTTACCTAGTGGAAGTCAGTAAAATGACTGAAAATACCTAGTGAATGTACAGTTTTACTTTCATATCCCTCTTTAAAATAGCTTTAGAAGTGACTTGTATTTCCTAGTCAATATTTCATCTGTATAAATACATTTGCAACAGTTTTTTTGTTTTGTTGGTTTTTTTGTTGGTTTTTTTTTTTTCCCAGAAGAGCCAAACTTTGAGTTTTATGTCTGTTTGTCATTGATGAATTTCAATAAATCTTTTTATACAATTTTTCTGTGGCTTATTTGAGTCAAATGGGCCACTGGGAAGGAATCGCATACCTTTTTTTAAAAAAGGCTTTCCCTGAGCTATTCCGGTAAATTCCCTGATATTTTTAGTAACTTGATGATACGTTTTGCTCCACGAGAACTACTCTTAGTCCACGGTTGGGTGAAACCAAGGGAGAGGTTTTGGCTTCAACGCAAATGACGGTACGCCCTTTTTCTGTCAAAAAGGAGGGTTTCTCCTACCTTCCTGGTGTGATTTACCCCTCTCTATCCAGGCCCAGAAGAGAGAACGGTTGATTTCCTTCGGCGGAGCCAAGCGTTGGGGTTCCTTGTGTGAGAGTCCTTGGGTTTGGTCACCTTGGAGCTTTCTCCATCCATCAGCTGGGATTTGTGCTGCTCCAGAGCTGAGTCTCCACCTTCTCCTCTCTTGTGAGGTGTTTGTTGAAGGTAAATCATAGAATCATAGAATGGTTTGGGTTGGAAGGACCTTAAAGATCATCAAGTTCCAACCCCCTGCCCTGGGCAGGGACACCTCCCACCAGACCAGGTTGCCCAAAGCCCCCTCCAGCCTGGCCTTGAACCCCTCCAGGGATGGGGCATGGCACAGCAGGTAGCACCTACTCCACGGTTTTACTTTTGAAAAGGAGCAGGAGAAGCTGTGGACAGTGACATACTGCTCCGTAACTGGAGCTCTTTGGATAAAAACAAGCCTTTTTTTTTAACTTTTGTAGGTGGCAAACTTTGCTCTCCTGGAGCGTTGGTGTGGGGTGGGGCTTGTTGTTCACTTGGGTGGTGTTACTCTTTTTAAGAGGAAGTCCAACTGGGCAAACTGGTCCCTGCCCAGCTGGTTGTAGGGAAACTGAAACTGTGAGCAGGGCAGGGTCTGGCTCCTGCCAAGCCACCAGCGGCCACCAGCCCTTGGGCTACAGCCCAGAGCTGTTTTGGGGCTAAACCAGCTCAGCCCAAGACTTCTGTGTGGCTTTATACTTCGGTTTTCTGAAGACACAGCTTTTCACTCCAGCTGGGGCAGGAACGGGCAGGAACGACCTGAACCTTTCCTGTACCATCAGCCTCGGTGGCTCCCAGGGACAAGGCCACCAAGGGCACCCAGGGGAAGGTCCCCTTCACCTCAGGGAACAGGACAAAACCAGCCTCGGGTGGTGATGCTGAAGTGACGTTTGACAAAACCAGCCTCGGGTGGTGATGCTGAAGGGACATTTGCTTTGGATGAGGGAGGGGAGCCCGAGGAGGAGGGGGAAGGGTTTGACCCTGCAAGAGGGGAGATGGAGCTGAGCTGTGGGGAAGAACTTGTTTGGTGTGAGGGTGGTGAGAGCCTGGCCCAGGTTGCCCAGAGAAGCTGTGGCTGCCCCATCCCTGGAGGGGTTCAAGGGCAGGTTGGAGGGGGCTTGGAGCAACCTGGTCTGGTGGGAGGTGTCCCTGCCCAGGGCAGGGGGTGGCACTGGGGGGGCTTTGAGGTCCCTTCCCACCCAAACCAGTCTGTGATTCTATCATCCCTCCCACCTCCCCAGGGGGAGCTGGGAGACCTCATCCTCCTGCTCCCCTGAGCCCTGAAGAAGGGTGAAGCCATCTCCCATTAGCTCATACTGGTCCCAGTATATTTTGACTGTTCTTCTCTTTGGCTGGGTGGTTCCTGCTCCCCCCGACACAAGCGCTTGGTCCAGGTCACATCACCCTGTGACTTCCCCACTGTCGGCTGGTTCCTGTCTCTGCTGGTTCTGCTCCTTCTGCCCAGAGCTGGTGAAAACTCAGGGAATGATTTTTGGCCAGACTTTAATACTTTCTGTTATAAGATTATGATTTTTTTTAATTTTTTCCCTTACATTTGGACACTTGGCACTTGCCAAACTTGCGCAGAGAAGGGACACCCTCCGCTGGGAGCTCAGCTCCCTCACAGCAAAAAATGATTAGAAATTTTTACAAATTTAGGCCTCTTTTAGAAATTTTACAAATTTAGGCCTTTTGACCTAAAACCCACTAAATTTGTAGAAAATTCTAATAGGTTTTTTTGCCGTGAGGGAGCTGAGCTCCCAGCAGAGGGTCCCCGAGCGTGTGGCTGTAGAACCAAGGGGGGCCCAAAGCTCTGTGCTTGCAAAGATGATCCATCATCCCTTGATTTTGAGGATGTCAGAAAAAGGAGGAACCACCATCATCCTCAGCAAATTTGCTGGGAAACTCCCATTTAATTGAAGTAAACCCCATCCTGGCTTCTCCTCCGCGTTGGCTTAATTTTAGATTTCAAAAAAAACCCCCCAGATCTTGCATCTCCATCTATAAATTCAGAGGTTGGTGGGTTGGTTGGTTGGTTTTTTTTTGGGGGGGGTGGTAGGGAGGAGAGGTGTTGTTTTTTTGGTTTTTTTTAATTGCCAGAGATCTTTTCAAGCAGGCACTCCCGAAATGCTGGCAAAGGGAGAATTAACAATAATCCTGCAGCTCGGAAGGGAAGGAGGAGGCCAAGCCTCAAACAAAGCGCAGCCTCCAGGAGGCAGAAAGTAGGTCAGGTTGATAAGGATGAGCACAGAGGGACGGCGTTAACGGGGGGGGGGAAACCAAAACAGGGAAAGAGACCACCTCACGGCCCTGCTTGGAGAAGGAAGGGGCTGTCTGCGAGGGAAGGCTGAGATTTTAAGCTTTTTTTTCCCCTTAAAACCCATTATCCCTAAAGATGCCAGCTGTGATGGAGAGGTAATTGCAATTAGCAGCAGTAGGGGAAGGGCGAGACAGACCTCCCCCCCCCACCATCCCAGCTTGGATTTGGATGGGGAAATGCTGCAGATAAATTAGATATTTGGGAATTACTGAGGCTGGATGGAGATCCCAGAGAGCGAGGGATGATGAGGGATGACACTGCAGGACGGGGGAGGCTTTAAAGAAAATATAACGTCTGCGAGGAGGGGAGGGGAAAAAAATCTGGGAGGTTACAGACTCATCAGTCTCTGGGAAATACTGCAAACCATGGGAGATACTGCAAACCACCCAGGAGCAGCTGAAAAACCCACAAGGGCACAGCAGGCTGATGGGGAGCGGAGGGC